TGCTCGGTTTGAACTGCAGGAGATTGTCTTGACCATGTCTACATGCCTAAATGCACTGAGTTGCCGCCATGTGATTGGCTGATTAGAAATTAACTGTTAACGAGCAGTTGGACAGGTGTACCTAATAAAGTGGCCGGTGAGTGTAAAGTTATTAGTCAGAAAAATCTGTCTGGATAACCAGACTGACCGCACGTAAAATATACGACAGGTCTGGACCACTCGTAAATTTTGTTCATATCTGAAAAAAATCTTAGAATACGAAATAATTGGTGAATGCCACAAATTCTCCTAAATCACTCGTACGCGCAACTTAAGAACAAATCTGTTCATGCGAACGGGTCTTGCATGAGGCCCATTGTGTATAATCCTAACCATGGGCCTCATGCAAGACCCGTTCGTACGCACACGTCTTCTGAGCAGGGGTGTTGAACTCCTGTCCTCAAGGCCCACTATCCTGCATGTTTTAGAGATTTTCCTGCTCCAACACACCTGATTTCAATGGATGGRTGATTGACAGGATTCTGCACAATTTGAAGCGTTAATCCAGTCGAGTTAATCCGGTCACTGAATTAGGCGTGTTGGAGCAGGAAAACCTCTAAAACATGCAGGATAGTGGCCCTCGAGGACTGGAATTTGATACCCTTGAGTGACCATTATGACTGTGGAACCACACCGTAGGCAAAGCAGAGTGAGCTGTGAAACAAAGGAGAACTGAGAGCGGCAGCTGTGCAGAAGGCTTTTGGTACCAGTTATTAAAGGGTCTGTGGTATTTATTTATCTGAGATTTTAAAAAATTCACTAAAGCAATTACACAAACGGGAAATTGAAAAAAATTACCTGTTAGACTTGAAAACACTATTTTCCAACTGAGACCAGATGAAATGAGCATAAAGAAAATAAACAAATAGGACGTGTTAAAGTGTCTGTGACATCAAATTTTTGTAACAATTATGCGTTTTTGGAAAGAGAACATTGATAACATATTGCAAAACAAATTTCACGCCGTTGAAGTTGAAGAGTTGTTGAGATATTTGCACGTGAGGGAAACAGGAAGTGATGTCAAAGGGGAGTGTCTGTATGTGAACAGAGCGTTGCTACAATAATTAGAGAAGAATCTGATGTTTCTTAATGTTATTTTGAGTCACTACGAGAGTTGAAGAAGAGTTTAAATAAGATTGTTTCAATAAACGAAGACTAGAGAGTTTCTCTTCTTAAAGAGTTCCCCTTTGATGTCACTTCCTGTTTTACTTTGCTGAGCCAAATTCGAGAAAATATGACAGTTTGAGACAGAATAGGTAAAAATCCTGTATATTTTGCTAATTTTCTTAAATATAAATATGTTTTCTTTGACTTTTTGTATTTGAAGGTTAAGCATGTCACAGGCCCTTTAATGTTTTTGGTCTTTTGTTCTGGTCTGTAGCTCAATAAATGTGTAAATGTGATTTAATGTTGGACTTAAAGAAATGCATTTAAGCTTATTTTTACACATTTTTATTTCTTTGCAATTTCAGGGTGTTCCTAAGAAGCGTCAGGCTTCAAAGAGCCCACCGCCTAAAAAAACAAAGAAAAAAAAGATTCAACAGTCCTCAACAAACACAAGCARCTCTGTCCCAGTCCCTGTCCCTGCCCCCATCCTGGTTCCTATCCCCGCCCCCGTCTCTGCCCCAGTTCCAATAAGCCCTGCTTCATCAATAAGTGACTCCTGCAGTCCTGCTCCTGGAACAGGAAGTCTCTCTGCCGCCTCCTCAGATGGGTTGTGGACCCTAAATATCGACGAGAATCCGCCTCCCGCTGTGAACCTCATCCTGTTTGTTCCCGCAGATCCTACGAGCGAAGCGCAGACCCTGCCGGTGGCGGCGGTGCACGCTCTGCCGCAAACGTCTCCGTCCCCCATGCTGAGTAGCGAACTGCTCGGCGTGAACGCTGCTGTCGGGGTGCAGCTGAGCGCCTCCCTCGAGTTCATACAGGGGTTCRCGGAAAACGCAGAAGCGCCCTTGGATTTGTCTAAAAAGTGCAACTCTCCCAAGTCTGCAGAGACGAACGTTCCTCTCCTTCAAATTAAAGCAGAGTCAAACGCTCCTCTCCTTCAAATTAAAGCAGAGTCAAACGCTCCTCTCCAAATTAAAGCAGAGTCAAACGCTCCTCTCCAAATTAAAGCAGAGTCAAACGCTCCTCTCCAAATTAAAGCGGAGTCAAACGCTCCTCCCCTTCAAATTAAAGCGGAGTCAAACGCTCCTCTCCGTCAGATTAAAAGTGAGCCGAAAGAATTCGACGTCTCCGAGCAGGTCCGGCGGGAATCACGAGAGACGATCGGATTTTCTGCGACGAAACAATGCAAGACTGAACCCGGGGTTGTCTCTCCTGTCAGCTCTCAGACACCATCTCCTGATTTAATGCTGGACATAAAAAAGGCACCTGAATCTCCTGGTTCTGGGTTTGATTCATGGTCGTCCACGTGCAGCAAGCAATGTCAACCAGAGAAACAAATAAAAATGGAAACGAACCTTTAAAGCTTTGTTCATGCTGACACAGGAAAGAAAAAAATGCAGGAAAATTACTTAAACTCACTACTGCAATAGAAGAACATTGTATTTTTCAATGACTGTAGAAAGAAACATGGCACTGAGATTACACAACCGGTACTAATAGCTATTGTGTACACTTGAAAAATTAACGTATCTGCTAGTTTTACTATAATGTAAGATTTTCCTTCTATTATTCCCTACATTTGCATGAATACACTCRATGTGTTTTTGGAAACTCGAGGGTTTTCTTTTTTACTCGAACTAAAACTATTTTACTTTGACCGTACTGAGAGTTGGCAATAAATAAAAAGTCGTGACTTGAATGAAAACTATCCTCTTGGTTTACACAAAACATTCCACATCTTTTTTTTATAATAATTTTTAATTGTATTCAGCTTGTGGAGCGATGAAATTTATAAYTAAACCTATAAGAAAATCTATGCAGTGTTGTGCTAGATTTGTCCCAGTATTTATACTTCTGATTGTTGTCGTTACTACTTTATATTTGTGCAAAACAAAAGTCCTTCTTGTCTTGTTTTTGTTGTATTTTTTCTTTTCTATAACCTTTTAAATATTTAAACACAAACGGTACAGACACTTTGTCACCTTGTAATTTACATTTTTTGAACATATGTATTCTGCAGTTGAACTTTGATGTCTTGTGAAGGGAAATAAACATTTGTCCCTGAAATGAGTTCGCCTTGGTTCGACATCAAGTTTTTTTCTAAAATTCAGTTTGCATTTTGTTTATACGTAGAGAACTTAAACAAAAATATTTCTTGTAAATATTTTCTCTAAGAAAATCTACTTTAGGAAACTTAATTTTCTTTGTTCGCTGGTTAGCTAGCGACTAGCTAGCAAACAAAGAAAAATGCTAAATATTTAGCTAGCTAGCATTTTGTGCCGATAAGCTAGCACACAAAAATAGCTACTTATTTAGCTAGCTAGGTAGCTAATATCAAAGCTAGGTAATTGGATATGTGGCCGGCAATAATAAATTTGACATTTTATTGTTTATTGGGTATTTTTTATTTAATTTTCAAAAAATATCACTCATGTCACAAACAAAACAAAGATTGTAATTCCAATACCTTTTTGTGATTAATGTTTAGAACATCAATAAAACAAATCAATCTTTCAAACTTGTCCACTTTTTTTTTTACCACTAATTAAATCATTCTCCACCCACACCCACTCATTGTGATTGGCGAGACCAACCCTTTTAGAAACACACCTCTCAAGTCAGAAACTCTAGAAATTATTCTGAAAGTATAGTCTTCAACCGAGTCCATTAGGGCCCTGTCACATTACAATGTTTTAAGATCAGTGGTTCCCAAACCTGTTCCTCCAGAACAATACCCTGCATATTTTAGTTGTTTTCCTGCTCTTTCTTCAAAAGCATGTTAATCATTCATGCAAATCAGGTGTGTCAAAACAGGGAAGCATCTCATACATAAAGTTACTTGAGGATACAGAGTCTTGGACAACTGCTGAGACATGAAAATGTCCAATACAATACACTGAAAAAGGCATAAAAATAAACTAGAGGCCTTGGTGCTTGGAACATATCCTGCAGCACTGAGGTAAATACAGCGGGTAAAATAAGTATTGAACACGTCACCATTTTTCTCAGTAAATATATTACTAGAGG